ATTTAAATTCTATTTTTAAAATATTTATTTCTTATTTTTAGTTATTTTTATTTATTTTATTTTTCTTTAAATAAAAGATCTTCCACTTGACATTCATCACTTTAAAATTTGTCACAGCTTGATAGTTTTTAGTAAATTTTATTACAGTATTACAAAAGGTAAGTAGTATTATAGAAATAGCATTCTGTTGATTAGTTAAGATCAAATACTTGTAATACAGTCACATCAGCTTGACTGGCAGGTTATAAGCTATCTGCACAATGTTAAAATTATACAGAAGAATACAAACTGGCATTAGGCAGTACAAACCCAAGATAAGTCTTTATGATCATATAAATTTGTAAACTAAAAAACTGGAGCCCACTTGGGAAGATCTAAATAAAGAAGTAGCACAAATCTTCAATAGTATTACTGTAAAGACTAAACCTAGAAAATAGATACCAATATGTAAGGAATCAGGCAAGCAAAAATCTTGAATAAAAGATACTACCAACTAGACTACAAGAAGTTTTGAATCAGAGAAAAAGGATCTTGAGAGCAGACTCTAAGATACCAGGAACAGGTTATAGTTCTACTGGACTATCTGAATTGGAAGTCTGAGGTCAGAAGCAGAGGTATAATATAAGTACTAAGAATATGCTATAAAGTTAGTACTAGAATCTAGGTGAATTTTACAAGAGCAAGCCCTATTAACAATAAAAATTAAATGTAGGTAGTTAGTTAACAAAGAAGACTTCTGGAGTCTTACAGTCAGGTAACATACTCTAAAATATGTAATAGCTTAACAGATATATAGAAAGAAAGGTTATAGTTAGATTAGATAACACTTAGATGTATAGAAACTTGTACACTATTTATTAGTATAAGTATAAGAATCAGAGTGTTTAAATAAGTAATCTCCTAGTTGATTGCAGATATGGCAGCTAGTGTAAAATTTGCTATGTAAGCAGACTACTTAAAAATTAACAACCAAAATTTGTATATGTGGCTAGTTGTATATTCTTCTTGTACAAGTTATATAATCATAATTAAAATTCAATAAAGGCAATAGTTACTGATAACTACAGCCTTAGTAAAAACAAAAAAAAAAATAATTAATAATAATATATAACAAAATTTTGTTAAATTTTTTTAAACTTTGAATTTAGTTTTTTCAATAACTAGTAATTCAAATCAATTAAAATTTTTACTATAAATAGTATATATATTCAACTATATTATACTAAAGGTTTAACTAATTTAGATTAATATTTTTTGAAAAATTGTTTGTAAATAATAATTATTTTTTTAAAAAAAATTAACTATTGTTTACAAGAAAAAAAAACTCTTTTCTATAGATCCTAATTTACTAAGAAAGAGGTGTAGTGACTTAGTGAAATGGTTAAGTTGTCAATTTCCCAAGTGGTATATTAGAAGTTCAAAACCTACCAACAGTGAAAATTTGTAAAATCATCTATGTTATATCAGTATTATGAGAGGTAAGTGGTATTATGACAATGGTATTTTGTTGATCAGTTAAGATCAGTACCTGTAATATGATCACATCAGATAACTGGCAGGTCATAGAGCATCTACACAATGTTGAAGTTATACAGAGAAATGCAAACTAGTATCAGGTAGTGCAAACCTAAGATAAGTCCTCATGGTTATATAAATCTGTAAATTGGAAAACTGAAGCCTACTTGAGAAGACCTATGTAGAAAGATAGCACAAATCTTTAATAGTACTATTGTAAAGACTAGATCTAGAAAATAGATACTAATATAAAAGGAATCAGGTGAACAAGAACCTTGGGTAAGAGGTATCACCAATCAGGCCATCAAAAGTTTTAAACCAAAGAAAAAGGACCTTGAAAGGCAGACTCTAAAATACTAGGAACAGGTCATAGTTCTACTGAGCTATCTGGATTAGGAGTCTAAGATCGAAAACAGAGATATACTATAAGTACTAAGGATATGCTGTGAAGTTGGTGCTAGGGTCTGGGTGAACTATGCAAGAGTAAGCCCTGTTAACAAGATACTAAATATGGGTAGTTAGTTAGCAGGGAGGCCTTCTGAAGCTCTATAGTTAGGTGACATATTCTGAAATATATAATGGCTTGATGGATATACAAACAGGAAGATTATGATTAGATTAGATAGCACTTAGATGTATAGGAACTTGTACACTATTTGTCAGTATAGTATAGGAATTAGAGTGTTTAAATAGGTAATCTCCTAGTAGATTGCAAGTATAGCAGCTAATGTAGAACCTGCTATGTGAGCAGACTACTTTAAATAGACAACCAAAAGTTGTATATATGACTAGTTGTATACTTATCTTATAAAAGTTATGTAATCATAATTAAATACAATAAAGGCAATAGCCCTGATAACTATGACCTTAGCGTAAGTAAAAAAAAATAATAATAATAATTTACTAAGAAAATAAAAATCAGATATATACAATACAAAAACAAGTAAAGAAAACTAAATAATTATATAGCAAAAGCTTATTTTGAGTTTAATAGTAGCAACTGACAACTAAATATAAACACACCAACAACAAATAAAGCAAAGATTAAGATAAAAAAAGATAAAGAAACTATCTTTACAACTAAAAAAGATATACAATGACCTTAGAGCCCATATTTAAATTTTTCTTTTAGACTTAATTACAACTACTAATGAATAACAAGACAACAAATAAAATACCAAAAGACAAAGCCAACAACAAATTAGACAAGACCTATATTGATTAAGTAACAAAAAAAAGATATACACTTCTTTCTAGAACAAAAAATAATACAAAAAGTAAGCAATTAGACACATCTCTATCAAAAAATACAATGACATCATCTCACACCAACAACAACAACAAGTAAATTGCAACAGATTTAAAAAATGCAAATACAAACATGACAGGCAACAATAATGAGCAAATAATTATTTTTTACAATAACACACCTTATATTATTATAAATAGCAATAACAACATGCTGATAAAGACAGATACAGACTCAACTGCCAAAAATAATAGTGAAATAATTATCCAACATATAGAAAACATCCAAGCAACAACTAGCCAAAATGGTATACATTACAATAAAGAAAACAACAACAAAATAGAAACAAAATCAGTAGATACAATAGCTAGTCATCAGACAGAACCCAGACCCTGAACATATAGGCTGCCGTCAATAGAAATCAGACAGATTGACATTTAAAAAAAAATCAACACCTTACCTTTTCAGTTCATATCTTGATGAATTTATAAACTAGTTTAATTATTTAATATTCAAAAATACAAAAAACATAAACTGTCTAGTGTATACATGTCATAGAAACTATTTCGGCATTGATTTTTAATATAAATTTCTGAAATAACTTAGACATTTCATATCAAAAATCAATGTCGAAATACTTTCGGCAAGCCGAAATAGTTGGATTTAAAGATCAGGTGTGACGCAGAAGAAAACAATCCAAAAATTGGGCATGGAATTTTTTTTTTTTACCTATGAAACCACCTTCTGCACACTAACAAAAAGGTTTCCTTACGAACTTTTGGTACTATCAAAGCCCTTTTTAACCTAATTTAATAGCAAAAACTATCCTTAATCTAACAGCGAATTTTTTTAGCAAAGTTTTTTAGGTTGGTAACGCTAGAACCAGTAATAAAGTTCTTGCAATATGTCAATTGGCTTATAATATTTATAATAGTTTTCACGAAAAAAGAACAAAAAAAATGAAGGTGCCGTAATTACGTATTTGTACATGCAAGAATGAATTCTAGATAATGCGCATGCACCGTCTGTCACAAACAAATAATGTCCAAAGAGAATAATAAATAAATAAATTATTAAAAATTCGCGAGTCAAAATACATAAATCTTCAAAAATCGCGAATTATTAATTTTACTTTACAAAAAAGAAATAACAATTATTGTTTTCTTTGCACGGAGTATTGATTACATATTGCTAGTACAAAGCTAAAAAAAAGAAATTCATTAATCATAAAAAGAAGTGACACAGAAAAATAATAGTCACAGGTCTTGTCGGTTTGGGCTGAAGATACGCACGTATGTAGGTAAGTAGGTAAGTACGTACGTACGTAATGGCAGAATATTGCAGAATATTACATAATATATACATAATATATGTGTAGGTGAAGACTTGAAAATCGGCTAAAAAAAAGAAAAAAAAGCAAAAAAAGAGAAAAAAAAAGTGGGGTGATTCACGATTGTGATATTACTATAAATCGTTTATCCGAAATATCAACAAGATTATTTCTTTGGCGTATGCTGGTGGAATGAATGATTATAAATGTCCTACCAGGACATACCTTTTTCCTTTCATACATGTAACTTATGTCATCAAGATTCTCGTTTACTACAATCTTCTACTGATACAATGTATGTAGTCTGTGCGACAAAAAAAAAACATTAATGTTCTTTGTTATGTTTTATACCTCCATTTTGTATTCAAGCAATTAAAAATTCAATATTTCCTTTTTCGAAAAAAAAAGTCCCTTGGCATCATCATACGCAAATGTATATGCTTGTAGTACTATATACTCGAAGACAAATCACATGACATACGCCATTAGCTTTATTTTTGGAATAAAATAATGATCACGAAGGCCACGCGAGTCACGAAATAAACAAACATAAATAAGTATGTAATATACGTGGACACGCACGCGCCATGCATGAAAAAAAAAATTTTAATGAAGGCGGATAGGTTTTAAAATGATATAAAGATACGAAATATACCATCTTCTCAACATATCTCCTGTACCTCACACGCCATTAAACACATTCATTTCCGTTATTTAATCTATCGACATAATTGGCATTCCTCGTTTATTACACCTGTGATGAATTATGAACACTCGCATTCCATTCAATTCCCACTGGTGGTAACTCCAACTTGTTTGCACAATTATGGACTCTGCCCTAAACGTTGTTCGGCAGGGTTCCACTGCTATGATGGCGACGTGCAAGGGCTCTTGTACCATCTATGCATGGACTGTGAAACTCATAACCTTTATTTCTATCAAACATCAACATTCGCTTTGCAATTACCTTTAATAGCTGTACAAGAGTTGACAGTAAAAAAGATCATATTAATACTAAATCTGTTGGAGCAATTTAAATTCCGACTCGATATTAAGGATCAACATGAAGGTCGGACAGTATTTCTCGAGGCTTGCAGCCGATTGATGAAAAGAGATAAACAATACGCAGCTGAGTTCCCTACTCTAGTTGATTGGTTTCTTTATAGCATGAAGTTTAATGTAAATGAGAGAGATAATGAAGGTTGGACTTCGTTACATTTCATTATGGAACTTAAGCACGAGGAATTCATCATTCCCACTTTAAAAAAACTTCTCCAACATGGTGCCGATCCAACCATTGAAGAACGTAACGGCTATAATCCTCTTGGATACGCGGTCTATAAGCACGAATTAAGGTTCATCCGACGTTTGATGGAAAATATACCAGAATTCCAAAATGACAATATTATAAAAAGAGCAATATCAAAAACTGCCGTGTTCAGTGAAAAAAGGAACTACTTACGTACGTGGTTATATCCAAAACTTAAAGCATAAAAACTTATGTTAAAAAATATTAAATATGTTGATACTATGGCATGTGGCATATAAGAGATTATGTTCAAATATAACAATTAAGCAATTTGATTTAAAATAATTAAAAGAGAGAGATTATTTATGAAATAAAATTAAGATTTTTAAAGATTCATGAATTATTGTTACATATATATGTCACGTGAACTATTGGCTACGTAAATCGCGTCTTAACGGTTTCTTTACCAACCATGCCCTCATTACACTACTAGATAAATCATTTCCATTATCTTGTAAATAACTGCCTCTAATATCTTGCAAAGTTGAACTGTTAGCAGATGTTATGAACGTTTGGTCTATAGATCCAAATTGTTCAGATACAAGTGTTGTTCCACCTATAGATACTAAACAAGCAGTGCCATTTTTTGAGGAGGATTTTAAGCGTTTTATAGCTTCAACGATCGGTGCGCGAGCATTGTCACAATCATTCGTCATTTGATTCAATTCTATTACATAAGTTGGATCGGTAGAAATTTGATTTCTGTTTCGGCCAGGAGAGAAACGTCTGGATTTTTTTCCAAAAGAAATATGTTGCTTCACGTAGCTAAGGATATTGATTAATATTATTAATATTCGAATAATATGCATCTCAGAAAAATAAATAAATAAAATAATAGAAATAAAAGTGATAATAACCATACAGTATAGAATAAATAAATAAATAAAACCTACTAATAAATATATATCAATTGCACAATGTTCGCAAAAATGGGTATGAAAAAATGCCAGAGAAAGAAGTATAACATGTTTAAATTTTTCTCATATATGATTACGGATCTGTAAAAGAGACCAAAGGATAACGTTTCCATAAAGTGAATTGCGAATATGATAGCACCACATTTTACGATCCACGAAAGCTACCGTAAAAATCGACTTTAGCATGTGATTAAAAACAAGTAGTGCCATTAAATAAAGTTGATCTTACTATTTTTCTGGTAATTTGTAGTTCCTGCATTCTGCGTTCATCAGCGTGTCTTCGTCGCATTCGGTCGACATAGCCCCGCATATTAAAGACCAAGTTATAGTAAGCATATAATAAAATAACCACGAATTGCAGAGTCCACAAACACCAAGCCATGGAATTTATCATTAACATACGTGACGCAATTGAGACTTCGTCCTTGTCAGCATAATAGCCTGTCAGTAATGACAATGGTATATTCGTTATAAATGGCGTGATCATTAACCAGAATGCAAAAATATCAAGAAAATTATTTGGCTTCCATCGAGAGTTCATAGCATACAATTGAGACTCAGGCGTCGAATGTACTGCAAAGGAGAGCAGATATTTGGTGAATACAATATTTGGGTGTTTAAATTGCCTTATCTAATTATATTATTGAACTTACTTAAACTAATGGGAACAATTACTGCTAAAGAATAACCAATAAGCCTCGAAAGATAGCAAAAAAACTGCCAATTATAAAGAAATTAATAAGAATTTATATTTCCAAATATATATATATATATATATATTTATATATGTATGTTAAAAAAAATATATACTTCTGCATATATCGAATTTGGATAACTGTCGTTAATTAACAATAATAAACAAGCTGCCTCTGTCAGATGATAAACGCACACGACAGTGTTAAAAGCATCTTTAGGCTTTATCCATTTAAAGCATCGTTCTCTTGATGAAGGATAAAATATTGATTTACGCTTTATAATTACTTGATTAAAAATAAATGCTGCGGATATTAATGATGTAACAAATAAGTAAGGTACAAGTATTAGGCTTGCGTCTTGAATCAGATTTTCTTCTTCGCATCCCCTAATATTTATTCGGAAGTCACAAACGCATTTATCTCGAAGTTCTGTTGAGTTACAGACTAACGCAAACTTGTTTCGTAATTGCACCATTAGGAATTATAATTATTGTAACTATTGCCTGTGTCAATTGTAAAGAATTGCATCCTAAAGTTTATCGTTGTTAGAAGCGATATCATATATTTACTTATTTCGTGAGCTTTGCTCCAAGATTTGGAGTCGTGAGGCACAGCAGGCACAGTATAAAGGGTTATGGCATTAAAAGACGAGTGAGTAATAGCTTTAATCTTCGAGACTGCTATTTAAAATTATTTCGTGCCACAGAACGACTTTGCAGATAGCTTCCGGCTATATGATCCAAATTAATCTTTACCGATGATATAGAGAAGATCTTGACATTTTGTAAAAAAAAGATTGCATATGGTCTCACAGCAATATGTACTCCAAGATCTGAAACCTTACTATGCCTGAAAGTACCATGTCCAATTATATATATATATTTATTTTTTACTTGATCAACTTGATGAACTTGATAAACATACTATATAGAACCTCTAATTATTCAAAAACTCCGAGAACATATGACTTGCGGGGTTCTACCACAAAATTCCGACATCCAAAATCTCGACAGGCCATAATACTAGCATCACGAGATGCAACAATTAAATTTAGGTCTGATAATGTGATTTCTAACCTTTAAATATTTAATTGTCACATCAGGATTATGGTTTCGAGATTTTGGATGTCGGGATTATAGTTTGGAACCGGGTGTCGTTTTTCTATTCGTTTAATAAAAATATGCATCGGATTTTAATCCGGATTTATTTGATTATATCCGGTTGTGCCTTAGATTGTACCTGCATAGGCCTGCATAAGTGTAACACCACAAGGATCCTTGTAGATTCTTATGTTAATTGTGTAATTATAAGTTATTATTATTATGTTTAAGGCTTTTATGAAAATAATAGGTAATCTTAAACATGAAATTTTTAGATATTTCATTTCATATTTTTTATTTTTAAGAGTGGAGGGCACTATTTTAAAATTATATATAAACTTAATAGTAAATTTTTTTTATATTTAATTTTATAAAAAATTATATTAAGTAGAATTTTATCATTTTGCGCATATGTGTTGTAATGCACCTATAAGATCAGGGTAAGGGCCGGTGTTAAGATAGGTCAGAATTAAGTAATAGTAAAACAATTCTTATTTCAAAATTTTGCAAAAAAATTTTTTTTATTAGAATGAGAAAAGTGGTTTCATAAGCAAAATTATTAGGGTTAAGAATGGCTAACTCAGCTTAGTTCAGCTTAAAAAGCTATGAAAGTCAGCTCAAGTTGGCTCAAATTGGTTTAATTTGTTTTATATAATTAATATTTTAATTCTAATTTAAAGTTTTTAAATTAGTTTGAGTTTAATATATTACTATTATTACTTATAAATTGTATACAAAATTTTAATATAATATATTCTAATATTTTTTTATTAATTGATAATTTGTTAATTATTTAAAAAATAATTTTAATATAACATGATGCAAATCTTTTATATTTTTTATTATAAACAAAAATGCAATATATATTTATTTATAACTTTTTTTTGTATTAAGTTAATAGTCCAAGTTAATTAATTAAAAGTTATAAAACTCATTAAAATACATCTAATAATAATTAAATTATCTAAATTTGTTTAGTAGATGCTAAGATATTATCAAAAAATAATTAACTAATTATATAAAATTTTATATAAACAAATTATTATTTATATATATAATTAGTCAATCATTTTTAATTATATCTTAATATCTACTAATCTAATTTAGATAATCTAACTATCATTAAATATATTTTTATAAGCTTTATACCTTTTAATTAATTAACTTAGACTGTTAACTTAGTATAAAAAAAATTTAAATAGATATATATTATATTTTTATAAGCTTTATACCTTTTAATTAATTAACTTAGACTGTTAACTTAGTATAAAAAAAATTTAAATAGATATATATTATATTTTTATTTATAATAAAATATATAAATTAGTTCATTATATCATAAATCAGTTTACAGAATGATAAATTTGAATTTGTTATTTTACAAATTAGTTCATCATGTGACAAATTTGAATTTGTCATATGATAAACTAATTTATATATTTTATTATAATTAAAAATACAATATATATCTATTTAAACTTTTTTTTATACTAAGTTAACAGTCTAAGTTGATTAATTAAAAGTTATAGAACTTATAAAAATATATCTAATGATAGTTAGTAGATATTAAGATATTATTAAAAATGATTAGCTAATTATATATATAAATAATAATTTGTTTATATAAAATTTTATATAATTAGTTAATTATTTTTTGATGATATCTCAATATCTACTAAACTAATTTAGATAATTTAACTATTATTAAATGCATTTTAATGATCTCTATAATTTTTAATTAATTGACTTAGACTATTAACTTAATATAAAAAAAGTTATAAATAAATATATACTATATTTCTGTTTATAATAAAAAATATAAAATTAGTTTATTATATGATAAATTTAAATTTGTTATATAGTGAATAATTTATAATGATTTATATAATTAATTATATGATTAATATTAATGTTTTTAAAATTAATTATAAACTAGTTCATAATTGTTTTTAAAATTTATTATAAACTAGTTTATAGTTATATAATATTATTATTACAAATTACTATATAGTAAAATATTTAAATCTATTAAATATATATAAGATTTATAGATATTTTTATACTTTTATCTTTTATTATATAAGTTAATATAAATAGTATTTAATTTCTAAAAGTTTCTAATATAAGATAGTTATATAATATAACAATACTAAAAACTAAAAACAAAAACAAATATATTAGTTTTATATTATTTTATTA